ATGGTTAATGCAATTCTTGGAGTCAGAGCCCTTGAGAGTAATAAATTTATTTTAAAAGTACATATCATTTACATACATCTTTCCCTTTAGTTAGTATAAATGTTTGGTCTTATTCATCAAACACCCCTGCAAATAATTGAAGTGGCTAACTCTTCCTGTTTCTCATAGAAATGTAGCTATTAAAGTAATTAAAATTATTTTTCTGATCATCCAGCTTTAATAAGTTTCCATTTGCTACTGTCTTATTATTATTATTATCAAGACACTAAGTTATTGTGGCTCACCCTAAGAAGCTCCGTGACTCTTCCAGATTATACAATGGATCAATTATGGCCACTTATATTTAGTGGTCTCGTTTGTATTTAAAGTTCTACATTGTGTATAATTTTTGAGTAAGCTTAGGTTTTTATATAGTTTTGTTCTGGTGATTATCAGCTGACACCTCTTCAGAAAAAGTACCCAAAGTTCTTGCATTGAATAATGTGTCACATAAAATTACTCCAAAAGCCAAATCTTGGCAACTATAAAGACAATTTCTTGAAGATCTATATGAATATGACAATTATTGGGATCTTCGCCTTAACTCCAGTTCAGCCTAGGGTTTATCTAGGAAAAGAAAAGAAAGCACATTTTTTGAAATGTAAGCTATGAAGAATTAAATTGTCACCATGCCCATCTGACTGAAAAAATAATAACAAATAAGAGCAATTTAGGGTAATCTGCAGTATTCAACAATCTTGTTAAATTTTGCATCATGAGTCAAAACACATGATCTTAGATTCAGAACAGATATGCTCTTCGCTGCTAAAATAAAAGAAAAAGAGTCTGCCCTAGCCGGTGTGGCTCAATTGGTTGGCCATCGTTCCATGCACTGAAAGGTTGCCGATTCAATTCCTGGTCAGAGCACATACCTTGGTTTCAAGCTCAATTCCCAGTGGGGGACCTGTGCAGGCAGTCGCTCTCACATTGATGTTTCTCTTTCCCTCTCCCTTCCTCTCTCTCTCTAAAAAAAATCAATAACAATTAAATTAAAATCAGAGAAAGTCTGCAATGGTGTCATGCAAATGATTAAATAAAGTAGGAAAGTGGGGAGAGGAAGAGAAAAGGAACAGTGAAAAACAAAAGCAGAAGAGAGGACAAAAATGTTTTCTAAGGTACACATTTTGGGAAAAGACAGTTAAATTCATATGCTTCACAGAGTCAGAAAATAAAAATGCTCTCCCCCATCACTCTGTCTTCTCTTTCAGTGACAGAAACAAACAAACACATGATAAGAATTATGTAATCCGCTAAATGCAGGTGTCTTAAAGCACATTATCTGTCTACTTCCTTGGGATAACATGTGTTCTGTTGTAGCTGACACTGAGCATTAGTCTTCTATCCATAAGCAACCACCAACTCTTTCTGGAATTAGGTGAGTGATGATGTTTTTCTCCAGTAAAAAACCATTTGCTCACCTTTAAAGAAAGTGGGCAGGAAGGTCTTCCTGGGTTCCCAGATTCTGGGCTACAACGTGCAAATCAAAGGCTCACATAGTGATTTTTACTTCTGCCTGTCTGTCCCTCCATCCATCCAGCTAGTAGAAACTTACTGAGTTTTCCCTACATGCCTGGTCCTGACTTAGGAGCTGGGCATAAAACGTGAAAGAAGGGGCAAAATCCCCATCTTCAACACCCCAGAGCTTAAACAAGTATTTACATAATTATACAAATAAATATGTAATTAAAAACTCCAATGATTGACAGGAAGGGAAATTACAGAATGCTATAGAATCCTGTAATGAAAGGATTTGATTCTGAGTTTTCACATGTCCTGAAAAAAGAAAAGAAAAAGAAAACATGCATCCTGGTGTTTTAGAGGTGGAGAGAGTATTCCGTCTGTTAACCTCAGTCAATAAAATACTCAAAATCTCATACGATATTAATTGTGCTGAAATCAAACTTCTTGGGCCTTTGTTTGCTTTTAAAACTCTATTGCCATCAAAAAGACTTCAAAAATGAAGAGCAAATGATGTTTACTTATAGTGGTTTAGTATGTTAATTTAAAATAAGCTAGAGTGTTTTAAGAGGAATGGAAATAAAAAAATCAAAAGTGGTGGATCTTACCTAAACAGAGCCACAGCCCTGGACCAGAAAGAATTCAGTGGGTTCTAGTTACCTTCCAACACATCCTAGCTGTGCTGTCTTGGCCAATTCGGGAACCGCTCTGAGCCTCGATTTCCTCATCTATAAAGTAACTGTCATAGTCACCTGCAGGGTCCTTCCGAGGGGCATCTGAGTGAATGTGCACAAAAGTGCCTGTGACAGTCAGTACAGAAAGGAGAGTACAGAAAGGAGAGAACCACTGAAAAACATTAACACCAGTGTGAACCATCCCTCCCTGGGGAATTAGTATTGGCTCCCCCAAAAGACTTCATTAGCTATTTGAAAGATGCCGTTGTGTATTTTTCCTTAAATTGTTTACTAATCATCTCAAACAAAAGCTCCTGCCAATATTATCAGAGTCAATTCCTTAGCACACCACACCACACGTAGTACCCTGAAAAAACAAACAAAAAAACAACTAGCAAATGCTCTCTGCAATAACTAACCATACGTGCACTTGGGATTCAACTTGTACTGATAGAGGGAAATTGCATTGTTTTGAAATATATACTGGCTGGGTTTGTTATTGCTTCCCCCCCCCCCCCACTATTAGAAGCATATTCAAGGATGACAGAGTAAACCTGAAATTGAAAAGAGTTCAACTTGAGAGAAAATGCCATTTTAATTAGAGGAGTTAGATAGTTATTCTCAACTTGAGTTCATGCCTCAGGAGGCACCATATTTCACTGCAGAGGCCCCTACATTTGTTAATGATTCACAAAGGGCGTTGCTCAAGACACACAGGCTCCAGGACACCTGCCTGGCCAGAAAAATGGGACATTCCAGGAAATCACAGCCTGGAGGAGACATTTTTAACAAGTCATGTCAAGAGGAATCACTCCATGTTTACCTTCCGGGATTTCACTGTGGGACTCCAAAGATGTAGGTGAGATTTTACAAATTCCAATCATTTGCCAAATGTTCCCAAAGGCTCTCCTCTGAAATCAGTTGAGCACCCTAAATAACTGTGTTCTTTTTGAACGTTACCATCTCATTTAAGGGACAGCGATCAGATATAAATCGAGTGTTAGAAAATAAAATGCAGCCACGGCTGGTGTTGCTCAGTTGATTAGGCATCATCCCATCACTGGAAGGTTCCTGGTTCAATTCCAGGTCAGGGCACATGCCAAGGTTGTGGGTTCAATCCACAGTAGGGGGTGCGCAGGAGGCAGGCAGACAATCCATGTCTTCATGTTTCTCTCTCCCTCTCCCTTCCTTTCTCTATAAAAATCTTTTTTTAAAAAAAATAAAAAGGAGAAAACAATTTTTTAAACACAATCAAGGAATGGGTTATTTATGACCAAGTTTGAACATGTTCTTAGATAGAATGCCCTATTTACTTAATCTCCTCTATTTTTACATAAATAGGAAAGACATAAAGTAGGAAACGCCTCAGTTTTATTAATGCAAACATATTTTATTAAAGAATGAATGCATTTATGCTAAAGAATAGTTTACATGTGTTGGAAAGCAGCAAGCATATCTCCAAGGGGCGGGTTCTCCTCAATATGACTCCATGCTAATTCTACATGCCTTAAACCCAGACCCACACATGGGGGTACATACACAACACAGATGCATATAGGGACACACAGATACAAAGATCAAAACACCAACACTGTTGCTCTCCAGATGCTATTAACTCTCATTTAAGGCTTCTTTCTGTAAGGTGCCCCAGTGCCCCTACCATCACCAGGATTAAAAACCAACTTCAATCAATGAGCATTCCCTGGGAAACTAGCCATCTGCTCTCAGCCTTAAATGTCTGTATTTTAACAAATCCTCTCAATTTCATACAATGATGACCCTTGGCATTTTATGACATTGAAAGATCTAAGAAACTGAGAAATCTCAGCTTTAGTGAGAACTTCTCATTAGAAACAGTGAATGCACTGGCGATCCTAACTCTGAGATGTTCTCAATTTGAAGATCACGGGGTCAGATTTCTCTTTAGATTAAGTTGAACACAGACAAGCCAAGTTTAGAGAACTCACTGGAGTACAAGGTTGAGTGATGGCGGCAAGGCTTCCTTGGTGACACCAAGTCAGATATGAAGCTTGCCTGGAAGGACTCGTTAGACAGGACCATAAGTTACCACAAATGGGGGTTGAAAGAAAGGACGGCCTGCATGGAGTTTGTTCACTTGCTGATAACTCATTCCCTTTTTCCAAGGTTTCTGTTGTGGTGGTGGTTGTTTTAAACTCCTAGCTGGTTTGACAGTTGATTTCATCTGCTCGGGGATTTTCCTCCCTTTGGGTGTCCTGCAGTGTATGTTGAGAATCCATCCCTGTGGGGATGTTGGCATGGGTTAGAAGGGGAACAAGGGTGGATGGGGCAGGAGGAGGGAAGGGTCATTAGTAGTTGCAAGGATTCTAAGAAAATAGATGAAGTGAATACAATAAGAGGGCACTACTTGATATATTTATGTAAATAAAAGCATTATCTTTAACTGTGAATTAACTGCCAACTATCAGACGGTTAGTTGTAAAGCTCAATGAAGGCTGTGCTGATTGGCTTACTGAGGAGAGGATCTGAAACATGGGAGAGGAGTCTCAGGCTCAAATCCACCTGACTTTTCCTTTAGCCCTGCGACTTCCGCACCAGCATCAGTACTCACCCCCTTCCCCCTTGACTAATGATCCGATAAGTGCATCTAACATTCTTGTTGGGTTTCATAAGGCAAACTGGAATTGTCCATCACATAACAGCCTCAGTGTCTTTGCCTGAGAATGGTGAAAATCAGCATGGAGCTCTCCTACAGGGAGGCACTGGGGAATGAGCAAAGAAAAAGAGAGAGTCTAGAACTTTCCTCCCCATCCACACTCCCACCCTCCTCACAGTCACAGCAGCAGCAGGTTTCAATGTAACGTAATTACTTTAATAATACATTTCTTTAGATTTAGAGTTGCTCTTCTGAATTTAAAAAGCTTGGTCGGCCAATAGTTTGGCAGTCTTTCATCTGAAATTGGAATCGTTGCATATTCATATGGTCTGGAATTCCTGGACCAAGGCTGCCTTTTCTGAAGCCCTCTAAATCCCTTCAGCCGTCATCAGATTCTAATCCCTGGGAGACCTCCTCAGAGGAGCTGTTCCTGTGGATCCGGCCATCACTCTTCATACTGTGGAAAGTCTTCTTAAAAGCCTCCATCATGGCGTGGGCCAGCTTCTTGGCCTCCAGCTTGCTCTCACACTCAACAGCATGACAGTCCATCTGGTAGGACAGGTCATCGTTGATCTCCCTGTAGACCCAGGCGAAGATGTTGGGGCTCACGTTGTGGTCGGCAGTGCAGTAAGCGATGCGAGCCACTTGGAAGGTATCCATGTGGACCGTAGCCTCCCCTTTGTGGTCAAGATGATGAAGACACACTTGGAATGGTCGGATTTCCAGAAGGACATTGGCTGGAAAGATATCTTCTCGGGCTAGTGTGTGCTTCTTCCAGAGCTCAATGACTGGCTTTTCTGTGCAGCCTGAAAAAAACTGCATGCCTGTGGTAGGGACTTTACCCAGATAGGTAACCTGCAGAGGAAATAGAGGAAGAAAAAGGGAGAGGTCAATAGTAAAGTCTTTGTGCTAGCTGTTCATTTCAATGTTCTCATTCATGATGTCACATGGGAAGGTGGAAAGACATTTTTCTTGCTCCCTAAATGTCATAACTGCCATCAGAATTTTTACCTTTCTCCCTAACAAGTGGCCCACTTGGCAAAAATATTGAATTCTTTAAATATTAGAGTTGGAGTTTAAAAATCTAGTTCTAGAGAACTACTCTCCCTCTCCCTACACCCCTTTAAAACTCATATTAGAAAATGATGGTATATTATATAATTTGTCATTTCTTTACAATCCTACAATCCTTGAAGTTTATTTTCAACCAAACACAAGCAGAATTTAATGATACAAAGGAGTCATAGGATGGTGCATCTGAAAAACAAAATCCTTATTAAACATCTCCTAGTCTGGTCTCTTTCCATATCTGTCAATGTTCACTTTCCCTTGAGCTTCTTGCTTCTAGCAAATGCCAAGGACACAGGAAAAAATGTTCTGTTTAAATTATGGCCTAAAACATGATTGGTTTCTTTCCAAGGTAATTTTTGAAAATATAGCAATACAGTTGTTTTTCAACCTAAACAGTTTTGGAATAGATGGGCACCATCTGGTTATAGTGATAATAAATGAAAGATCTACAGATGGTTGGAGACTGAGAATGCTTGCTTATCAAATAGCTAGATGGGCAGTACGAAAACAAAAGAAAATAATTCCAAGTGATTCAAATAGTGACTTCTTAAAAACGTGTCTAAGAATACCAATAAGGGATTTTTTTATTCTTTCATTTTTTTTATTCATCAAAATAGGTAGAACTGCTATCATTATGGAAATGCATAACACTGAAGATATAATTTAAGAAATAATACAAAATAGTATATGATTTGGTGCAAAATTAGTGACACAAATATAAATACTATGGATTTGAGGAAGAAAAGACCAGAAAAAAAAGGTCCATAGAAATGGTGAGAAAGGACATTTTGTCACAGTGATTCCAAATCAATATTGACATTTAGTGGAACTATAAAGGGCCACGTACAAAAATTTTAGCGCACAGAAGTTAAGTAGTTACAACTTCTTGTGCTTTATCTCTTATACAAGAGTTAATTGGATACCCCCTTTAAAAACATAGCTCCTTAGTAAAGAGGCATAAAAGCTGCACATTCTAGAAATATTCAGAACTTATCGATAATAATAAAATCATAATATGCTAATTAGATTGGACAGCTGAACCACCTTCTGGACGTCCTTCGGGATGACCTTCCAGATGAAGCCAGGGTGGCTGCGAGGGCTGAGGCAAGCCACCAAGGCTGAGAGGGCCAAGCCCCTTGCACAAATTTTGTGCATCGGGCCTTTAGTTATACATAATGGCAATATGCCAGGTGGGCATGCGAGAGGGGTAAAGTGAAGATGGGGTGGCCCAAAAATCAATGGAAAGCAAATGGATATGTGTTCAGCGGCAGGCAGAGTCAAGATTTAATCCTAGCTCCACGGTTCACCAAGTGGATAGATCATACTGGACACCACTAGCCCTTTGCACATGCACGGACATCATTACAATCTAAGGAAGACCATGAAAAGGACGACAAGGAGTACTACATAGTACCCTGAACATTCAGGGGAAGGAAGTGTGGTTCCCTACTGGCAGAAGGCCTCAGAGAGAAGAGTCATTGGATTTCAAGGCATCAGGACCTCAAAATCCAGATAGGAGCCCAGCAAGTCAAGGTGGTGTGAGAAGGAGGGAGCAGAAAGGCAAGCAAGGGCTGCAGTGGGAAAAGCCCCAGGTGGGCAAAGGGGCTGCTTTGACCTGACCACACATTAATTAGGTTGTGGCATAAGCCAGAGTAGGGACTTCTTTCCTCTTGATGGAATGCCACTAAAAATCTACAGCCCGAGGAAGGCCTGGATTTGATCAAGGTTGAAAACTTGGAAGAGCTGATGATGCCACGAAGAAAGATGGATGGGGAGGGCTGACTAAGAGCAGAATGCTCAGGCAAGATGTTGTACCAACAACCCAGCCCGGAGGCAAAGGTGAACTGAATTATGAGTGTCGGTAGTGGGAAAGGACTGAGGAGACACGTGGCAAAGATATTTCAGAGATAAAACTGACAGTATACTGTAGGGGGGAAATAACTCAGATACTGCAAATGCTCAAGCTCCCCAAAGAGAGCAACTGGTTGGACAGCTCTGTGTCTCTCTGGATTGGAGTCAGATAATAAAGGTGGCTTTGTGAGCAAATGCACAACACAGGGTTCTTCAATACCCTTTACTAAAAATGTACCTTCTATATGTGGTACTTTGTGATATCTTTATTATTTTTAACAGCTTTATTTTTTACTGACATGAAAATTTACATCATATAAAACTTAACCATTTTAAAGCATGTGATTCAGTAGCATTTAGTAGTCAAAATGTTGTACAACTATCTGCTCTAACTGGCTCCAAGATATTTTCATCACCTCCAAAGGCGACATAGTGCCTATTAAACAATCTTTCTCCATTGTCCCATCTCCCAAGGCCCTGGCAACCACCAATCTGCTTTCTGTCTCTATGGATTCCCTGTTCTTCCTGTTTCATATAAGTGGAATCATACAATATGTGGCCTTTCCTGTTGACTTCTTTCACTTGGAGTAATGTTTTCAGCATTCGTCCAAGTTGTACCTGTATCAGCACCTCAGTCATTCCTATGACATCTTTACTTCTGGAAGTTTAAACGCAAGTATTAGAAAAATAAGTTTCAGTGCTTGGAGTAAAAGCATATTCTCTTTTACGCTCCACTGAAACTAGGAATAACTTTATATTTCATACAAAAATTCTTCTGATGGAGGAAAACTCCTTTGATTTGCCAATAGGATCACACCTTTATCCCAACTCCCACACACAAGTTTTAAAAATTACAGTGTCTTCTATTGCAATGTAGCCAAAGGATGAGCTTTAAAACAATATTAGAAGTGGTAAATGACTCACTCCAACAGGAAGCAATTTCATAGTGGTAAAATTTTGACAACGAAGACAAAATATAATCCTCCCTTATAAATATTTATTACTTAAAAACTAAAGATTTTAAGGGACATAAAGTTTTATTGTTAAAGTGTGCTTTAGAGAAGGGTAGAGTGGGGATTAGTAGCTCAAGAAGTTTATTAGGCAATAATGAAAGCTACAAATAATATGCAGACATTTATAAAAGCAATTTTGAAACACTGAGGTACAACATAATACATAGCTGTAATCTCTTGAAATTAAACTTATTATGGAAGTGTCTTTATTCAGTGGTCCCCTTTCACTATGATCATCTGACTACACTCTACACATTAAACCATAAGGTCCTAAGCCCCTACTGACATACATCCTCAACCAAATCAAGCCACACAGACACTGAAGAGTAGTAACAAATATTTGTGTCACACTTAGAGGAAGAAGCACATGGTATATATAGGTTCACTGTGGTTCAGGATCTAATATTATTATCACTAACCCATTTTAAAAGACAAGAACCTTAGGTGAGGTGGTAGTACTGGGAGACATAACTTACACTTCCGAGTGTTGGGATTTCAGGAATATTTTGATTATTTGTGAAGAAAATTGCTCAGAAAAGACAGCCTGAAAAGACATGTGTTGAATTCCTGGACCATTTTGCTATCAGATGAGAGGCATTTACAACCGATTTCACTTTCAGCCAGTTATTCATTTTTCCCATCTTTGTACTATCAGAGAAATTTTGGATTTCTATGAGCATCCAAATACAGTGGGTCTTTCCATAGAATGAACAACATTTTTTTGTCTAGTGCTTTTGCCAATGACACTCTTCTTCATGACAATATAGGCATAGGCAGTTCTTTAAAAATGCATTCTGTTTTATAACTGCAGAAAGTAAGAAGCAAAAACCCTAGAAAATTGTCAGGTAAAATGGTGCACAAATAATAAAATAATACATGTATATGATATACTATTATATTTTATATAATTTATTTATAATAGATCATCTGTTTTCGAAAACAAAAAATATAGAATATACTTAAAATGAAATCAAAGAAAATGAAAGTTAATCTCAAGAACTCCAGACTCTTGGAATTTTCCCACAAGTTTTCTGTGCAAAGAGGAGCCTAAATATGTTCTTAGCACTGATCCTGAATATTCCATTAGCTTCATCTTGCAGAGTGTTACCAAGCCTGCAGATGGAGGAAAGCTGTAAGCGGATCATGCGATGACTCTGCTACATGGGGATACTGACAAGGGCCAACAATCACACCAAGTGTTCCTGGGAACCACAACTGATGTCTGCTCTCAATTTATAATGAAGGCCACAGAGGCGGTGGTGGACAGACAAGTCCTTCCTACCAGCACAGAATTAGCAAAAATGCCCTGAAGTACCAGCAAATGGCCAGTTCCCTAGTGACAGCAGCTCCTGCTGCTTGAATGTACAGGGCTCCCCTCACCTCAGGCCTTGCAAGGCTCTTGGATGAGTCTTCTCTTGATTCAAAGGAGCTAACCCTGCCCAAAGCTTTCTAAACAGTCCCAGTAATGAACTGGTTCCTGCAGGATCTGCTCAACGCAGAGCAGGAGTCAGAGGGTAGAACTTACGCTGCTGGGTGAACCTTAGGAAGTCAATGAAACTCTTGTTTGTTGCCTTTGTGGAGCAGATAACATTGTCTAAAATCCCATGAGGTTATGTATATACAATGACATAAAATCAACAAGTTGACACTTCTTAAAGACATATAGGAAAAGAATGATCGGACTAGATTTTCCCTAGACATGGAATAAAAATAATGATCTAAATAGTTTCCTTAAAAATGAAATGCGAAATGATAAAATGACATCCCAACATAGCTTCCCCTCAGAAGGGTCCCTGACTTAACCTGTGCACTTCCCCGTGTCAGTTAATTACTTGCTATCTGCCTGCCTGCCCATTTCCTAAATCTCCCACTACTAGTAAATTCTCCAGAGTCGGGCATTAATCCATGTAGCTGCCTATA